CTGAGATGATATTTTTGCACATTTTGAGTATTTTCTAGAAAATTTTTACTGGGTATTGTGAATTCTAGGATGTTTTAATTGAATAACGAATTATTTGGATGTTGAAATATGTTGCTTCAGTACAATGAAAGTCTTATATTGATATTTTGCACTATCTATGATAATTTGGAAAATTTCTGAATTTATGAATTATGTGAAAATTCTGCATATTGGCATTATGCTGCTGACGATTTTTCTAACGTGATCTGATTTTCCACTACAGGAAAATCGTCCATTTCCGGCGGACTTTTCCGACGATAATGGAGCCTTTTCCGGCGGTTTTGTAATTTTCCAACGGTTTTACAGCGGTTAAAACTCCGCCGGAAAAAATGGCGTAGGAAAATAAATTCCGTCGATTTTTTTCGGCAGCAAATTATTCCGGCGGTCTTAAACCGCCGATCAAATTAAAAAAAAAATCCTCTGCCGGCAACGCCTCCCGCGCGCTACCCCTAAGCCAGCGACGCCTCCCGCGCACTGCCGCTCTGCCAGCGACGCCTCCCGCTCCCGCGCGCTGCCGCTCTGCCGGAGACGCCTCCCGCTCCCGCGCACTGCCGCTCTGCCGGCGACGCTTCTTGCTCCCGCGCGCGGGCCTCGTCACCTCTCCCGCGCAGCTGCTAGCCGCTCCAACACGCATGTGCGCCCGCTCGTGCGCCCTCGTCTGCCGTGAGGTTCGAACCGCGTCGATTGGGAAAAAATGCAGGCAACGGACCGAATTGCTAAATGTGATATATGTTTTATTTGCCAATATTTTTTTTTTTTTTTATTTTTGTGCAGTCATGATTTTTCTGTTCTGTTCTTTTTGTTTGTAGCCATACACTATATTGTACATGATTATTTTGATGAAAGAAGAAAATATATTTTGTTCTATATATTTGGATATTTATAATAGCTACATGTTTTCTGTGTGTCTAATATTTGAAAGAAAGTCTGAAGCAAATTCCATGACTAGATCCTGGATTTTCAATATTTGTCGCGGCCCGACGCGAAGGGATTCGTTACGGTTGGGTTGGGTCGTGACACTACCACCCCTACTTTGACCCTCGATAGCCACCTCACGCATTCCAGACACCAAAGAGAATCTATGCGTGAAACCACATTACCCAACTTCCTCCATGGGCAGTAAAGCCCGCGTTGACCAAATTTTCTACTCCGTCTGTATTGTGAAATCCATAAATTTTCTTATAAGAATTTTTGACCTATAACAGTCAATACTTATTTCTGTAGTTATTATAACTCCAAATAACAAATCATTTTTACTAGAACATTTATAGTGTTGTATTTTAGGTTTTCTAATTTTTTCATAAGTTTTTGTCACTATTAAAATTTATTTAGAAATTGATACCTATCAGTACAAGTGAGGTTTTTGGGACCTTCAGGTGTCCGTTTTGCAAACTTATTTCGTCATAATTTTCTAAATAAAATTTGTTAATTTATGATTTTTTTTTTTGAAATTTTTTGGATTTGAAATTATAAAAGAATTAAAATAAAAATAATATTTTAAAAAATATTAAAATATTAGAATAATTATAGTTTATTTAAATATCTAAATTCACTATTATATATGCTTTGCCTTTTTCATTTTTCCTAAACAGAGAATCAAATTAGAGCATTTTAGGAAAATAAGAGAAAAAGAAAGAAAGAAAGAGAGTCCAGTATTGGGCGACTTTGGGCCTTATTTGTCCGTCAACCTAGTTGAAAAACTTGTTCATCTAGAGATAAATCATATTATCTACATCTTAATTTTTAAAAATGTGCAAGTTTTAATGAATATTTTGATTAAAATTTTGTAACTGTTAGCGAAAAAATGGGAATAACTTTGTGCATGTAAGACTTTCATCTCATAACATTTTATATATTATAAATATTATAATTATGCACATTTTAAATATTTCTAGAAATCTTTCACAGGGAATTTTTAAATTTGTGGGGTTTTTATTGAATAAAAAATTATTTGGATATCGAAAAATAGTATTGTTATACAATAAAAATTAAAATATCATTTTTCATAATTCTTGATAATTTAATATTTTTTTGAAAATATAAATTATTGCCTTGTTGGAATATTTTTTTTATATATTATAAATATTATAATTATGCACATTTTAAATATTTCTAGAAATCTTTCACAGGGAATTTTTAAATTTGTGGGGTTTTTATTGAATAAAAAATTATTTGGATATCGAAAAATAGTATTGTTATACAATAAAAATTAAAATATCATTTTTCATAATTCTTGATAATTTAATATTTTTTTGAAAATATAAATTATTGCCTTGTTGGAATATTTTATGTTGTTTTTCATTATACAATAATGTAAAATTTTGATACATGCTTAATTACTCTTTAATTATTATAATCTGATGATATATGTGCATATGTGATTAAATTATATCTGTTGGGAGTCAAAAGAAGCCAAAATCCATTAATATTATGTTTGTGTTAGGATATTACTAGGAGTTATAAGGTATCAGAATCATTTGAGATTCTATCTGAGACAGAAATATGTGATAAGTTCTGATATTATAAGTACAAATAAAAAGAGAGTCATGTGGTCATAATTCATTGAGATTTTATCTAGGTCTAAGAAGTGTGAATTGGAATACTCTATGATATGAATGTTAATTTATTTTATTATGTACTGTTATTTAAATCAGAGAATAATTATTATGCATTTATTATATTTCTAAGTCTAGTGATTCTCAGTTTAGCTATTTATTTAAAATGTATTTAACTATTTTTAAATATTCAACAAAATATTTAATAAAAAAAATATTTAAAAATTTAGATTAATTTGTGTGACTTACTGAGTTGTTATAGCTTACTGTGATTTTCTTCTATTTTTTAGGATCTGGAAAGGGAAAAGAGGTTGTGAACCAGCAGTTTATGATTAGATCTGAGGTCATAGATATTTTTCTATTTTAATTTTTGTAAAGTCATGACTAGTTAAATTTTTAATTATGTAGCTCTTGCATGTAGCCATGTACTATAGTATAAATATCTATTTTGATGAAATGAAAAAAAATTTGTGGATGAATTTAATTTTAGTATTTGAATATTTTAGTAATTATGTAGTCTATACTTTATTTTAATGAATACTGGTAAAAAAATGAAATAGTTTTAAAAGTAGATCTTTAGATTTGTCTATCATAGCTCAATGCGATATGACATGTCCTGGTCGAATTAGATTGTGACATGTACCTTCATGCATCTTTATTTGTAACAAGCCAGACGCAGCCTTCAACCTCTCAAATAAGTTTCATGTGGGCTCAGACCACATGGACCGCCCTCTTTCGAAGCTTATTGCTTCTATCCTTGTGGACCTCCTCCCTCCTCTTTCTTGATTACAAGAACACCCTCCTCGTTTTACGAGATCGCCTCCACCTGGCTCTAATTCCAATTTGTTGGATTTTCTTAAGGAATAAGGAAGCCTTCTTGTTCTTTCTTATTTTTTTCACCTATGAGAGAGTAGGGGAGAGAATGGAATTCATTGGAGAGAAAATCAGCCTTAAATCAATTGTATTTGTTGGCTCTCTTTCTCATACAAAACCAACCCATTCATAAGCTCAAAACAAGATAGAATGCACCTAAGATACAACCTATCTAAAATTGAACCTATTTCTAAGTCTAATGACACTATAATTATCACATAAAATCTCCAAATTTTTAGACAAATGACTTTTTGAATACATTTTTTAATTTATCCTATGCACTTCATTTATAGAAGAAAACAATTTTTATCTTTAATGTTGATCTTTAACTTACTAGTTGACAAACACATCCAAATATTGATTGAAATTTGATCATCAACAAAGTTAGAATTGGCATATACCCAACTAGACGATTAACTAAATATCATCTTATTTTTATTTAACTTCTGACCAATAGCCAAAATATATCATAAAATTCATTTTGTTATACACCAATGGTCTATAATAAGATTATGTACTAGCATGAAGGATATTAGATTTTGTACACCATCACATAAAGGCTCCCACTATAGATTTGTATATTAAACACCAAATATGTTCCTTTTTTTTTTTTCTTTCACTCTTTAATGAAATTGATGCACTTGTTTGAAATATAGGGCTAAAGGAGTGTTCACATATTAGTCCTTTCATTGAAACCAATATTTGGAGTCCTTGCTTTAGATATAGAGTTTTGTGTTAAAAAAAAAAAGTGTTTGATTCTCTCTATCATATTTGATCTCAATCCCAAGGATCTTTTTAAGTTTCTCCAAAGTCCTTCGTCTCATTGAGAAATTATTTTGTGTGGTGATTTGATGTAGATTGGATCGTTGGAAGAAGACGATGCTTGAAGAAATATAATCCCAATCCAGGGAAAAAAGGTAACACCAAGCTTAAAGCTTTAAAAAGAGATAATATTCATCGATGAGCCTCCTTCCTTACAATATCTTGAATATATAGGCTTAATAGAGACTCTAGAACCATACACCTAAGCTAATAAAGGATAGAAGACTCCATAACCATACACATAAGCTAATAAAGGATAAACTACTCCTAAGAATTTATTCTACTAAAAATGTTCCTACATCATGATTGGGTATAGAACGCCGTCCGGAGAATAACTAGTATGCACCACATCAGCGGTACCGAGCCACGATATGAGCAGTATCAAACAATAGTATCGAGCACAAGGTGTCGTGACGCATTTTGGTTGGTCTCTAAATTATGTTACAGACCACACAGAATAATTATTCCAAACTTTATGAGCACAAAGAAGTCTTTAGATTACCATGAACTTATAATCATAAAGGGTAGATAATATTAATCATAATAATAAAACACACAAGAAAGTAGAATACAAAGTACGAAATAGAAAAAACAAAATACAAGCTTGGCCAAAAAACAATGGCACATGCACATCAAGCACATAGAACACATGACGATTATTCTCCATTAAGATGGACATCGATGCTCAGAGCTACTAAGCACATTCTGATTAGTGGCCGTGGCTCCCAGGAAGTTTCTCCTTAATCTTATCCATTATCCCTTTCTTCTCAGTCTCTTGCGTCGGCCCTCCTACAGCCACACCCTGATCATAATGCTGCTGCGGGTTCTGACTATCCTTATGACCTCCAGGCAACTTCTCCTTGATCTTGTCCTTTATCCCTTTATTCTTCTTCCTCCTCCCTCCCAGTCCATCGTCTTCCGAAGAGCTCGAACTGCTCGAGCTTCCCGACCGCCTCAGCACCCCCGGCGTCGCTCCGCCGCCATGGAGTTGCTGGGCTCCGGTCCCGTGCTCAGTGCCGAAGCCACCACCAGTGTGTTGTTGGACAGCATGGCCGGCGCCGTAGCCACCGGTATGGTGTTGGTCAACATGGCCGGCGGTGCCGTGGCCATGAAGCTGCTGGGCTCCGGTCCCGTGCTCGGCGCCGTAGCCGCCGGTGTGGTGGTGATCGCCGTAGCCGGTGGTACCGTGTCCGGTGATGGGGTTGCCGTACTCGTCGATCTGTCCGTGTCCCACCTTGTTGCCTAACGGATCCATTTTCCTCTCTATAAAGATTTTTGAATTAGCTTTTGCTTCAGTTGCTTCTGCTTGCAATATGAACGTTGAGATGACGATGGGAATTTATAGGAAGGAGGGGCGGTGGAGCGGGGGACACGTGCGAGATTGTAGCGTGGGCTGGATGGATAGGATGCGAGAATGGGCGACGCGTGTGGAATAGAGGAATGGGGATTGTCGCGGTGGCTCTATTAGCTTGCACGTGGGAGTGAACGAACTGCCGACGTGCCTTGGATAGGATCTGAGTACTAATAAACTCTACAATGATAATATAAACTAATCCTGTTGGCCCTCATCCGTCTACTTCATTTCTTATTATTTCTTTAGCAATAAGATATCATGAACTAATTTTATCGGTTTAGCACATCTCATTTTGGCTTGTTGGTTGAGAGCTTAGGCTATTAACTGAGAGATCTTGGATTTGAGTCTTCATGTATGTGTTGTGTGTGTGTAAGTTTGTCTTATATGGCCTAAATGTCCCAAAAATAAAAAAATTGTTGGTCCTATAATTCATTTTCATGACCTTATGTCTCTGATCTCTTCCAAGAACTCAATTGAACAAAGCCAAATAATTTTTTTTCTCAACCCTAAATGTTAATGAAGACATGTTAACACAGTGTTAGTAATACAAAATGATTTTCTCGGATTCTGCAATTCCTCTATTTTTTATATGGTTCTTACTTCATAATGTTACAGTGCATCAAGTTCAATTTTACTCATGATATCGAAGCACATAACATATTAGCAATTCGAGCTCTTTACAATGGATCAATCAGACACTTCCCTGCTAACCAATCACACTTCCATACTGCAAATCAATGACCCTCCTTTTTCTTCATTTCTCAAACTTGTTGTATCATATATCAAAATTATCATTCCCCCATAACCATCTAATATAGAAACCCCAACTCTTAAAACTCTTTCCGGCCAATGGATTCGTTGGATTTCTAGACAACACAACCAAGTGTTCTACTTAGCTACTCCTTAATTCAAATGATAGGTCAAAACTCAATCTGATATATATACTTAATGGAATGTTTAATTTTAGGCATGTGTTGAGTTATATTTACTATTAGTAAGCTCTATATTTATGGGGTTCTTTGTGATGTTTTAGATATGAATGTGTGCCATATTATTTTGATAGGTCTTGACAATTTGATAGTGGGGTGGTGCATGACGGTAGATCTAATATTTATTCATTTAAATGGAAAGACAAGAAAATGAGACCACTGCCAATCGCACCCAGTCGCAGGAGTCAGGACCAAAGCCGTCAAAATCATCATTGTGTGTAATTTCGGTCCACACCTTGTTGTAAATGAAATAATTCAATGATTCTGGCATTAGTTGCTACTGACTTTGCTTAGATTAAAGTCTCCAATGCCTATAATAGTGAGATTTTTTTTTTTTTTTTTGAATTGTTTGTGTTGTAACCATGTAAGAGTTATGCTCTGGTTTCATGTCAAAGTGTGACAGCTGCAAAAGAAAATAAAACAACGCCTAAACAAGAAGAAAATAAAGAGAATTCCGTCTGAAAAAGAAGGGAAAAAAAACAAAGAAGAAATATCCTACACAACCAACAAACAGGAGAATAAACTAGAAGGTCATAACAACCCTCCTAAAAAACACAAAATAATGAGGAGAACAAAAACGAAGATACAACAGCAACAAGAATTCCAGGCCAAAACAAACCCAGCCAGGAAAAAGCTTCCAGTGAAATAACAAAACCGAAACTAAAAGTAAGCTACAACCAGGGGTGTCAATTTCGGTTCACGGGTTGGGTTCGGGTCGAACCCGAAATTGACCCGACACCAATAAGGTCAACTCGAACCCGACCCGCTTCAGGTTCGGGTCAACCCGACACGACCCGTTATCCATTGCGGGCAACGGCGCGGGTTTGCACTTCGCAGCAGGACGCGGTGGGTTCAGCGGTTCGCAGCGGGACGCGGTGCGGCGGGCAGGCAGCAGCAGCTTTCTAGAAACATGTAACGAACTAAATCAGCTATCCCAAAAAAACGTTTTATCTAAGATGCTCTGCCTCACCTACCACTTCAAGAAATTCTGCATAATATTCTTGTGGCTTATTTTTAATTTTGTATTTGAAGAAACGATATCGCATACATTTCTCAGACAAGATCAAGAAGAGATTTGGAAGCAGGAAAAATAGAAAGTAGAAAATGTAAAACTTGTATTCATGAAGAGATATTACAGGTATATATAAGTAGAGTAAAGAACTAGCAACCAATGAGCTAAAGCCACCTCATCTTATTTACAAGACATAATACCAATAATTGTTTATTTATTTGGCTGTATATACTTTGACAGTATTGAATACTGTTGTGCTGTTGGTTCAATCCAAGTTCCTTCACAGTAGATTTCTCTGAGTGCTTTAATTCATATTATTTCACTCTGATAGCCCTAATGAATTGCCTCAGGTTTTACTTCCTGCTGTGCTGTTCCACTTTATTGGTCTTCTAAAATATTATGCTGTTGTAATCCATGATTTTTATAATAAAACTCTATGGAGATTATTTCTGGGCTGAAGATCAAGAACATTAAGGGTTAATGTCATGTTCTACAGGTGAATTAGCTTAATCTTATGAGCCATGTATTCACCTATGACAGGGAGAATTGCCTATCACGCTTGAATTCGTAAGGACAGCAGCTTTCAAATACATTTCAGCCAAGTTATTAGGTTCTATATATAAGAATTTAAGTGATGTGCTTGGGATGAGCAAATGATGCTGAGATATGTGGGAGAAGATAAATTCAAGCTTGGATTTCACTCCCTGTTTCTCATATCAACATCTAAAGAGTCAAGGAAAATTTTTCTGTGCGGACACCGAACGATGTCCAGAGATCAATAAAAAAACACCACGTCACTCTTTTACTGTATTGTGGCTTGGTACCGGTATCGATGCTCGGTACCGCTCGATATCGTGACATCTGGACGTAGAGTTGCATCCGACGTCCGCACAGAATAATTTCTCGAGAGCCAGAGAGCCTTTCCCTTCTCATCAAACTCAAAACCAATCATCATAGACAACTTTGCAACCATTATGTGCAATAGCATGTGCAGAAGTTGATTTTCTGATATTTCTTGTCCAACTAATAGCACAAATCAAGGCATTAATTAACTGTTTCAAGATCTGTTGAGCTCTTATGATCATCCTACACTGTCACCAGCATTGAAGGAAGACTCAAAAGCCTCTGTGCTGTTTGGAAACGGACAGCATGTTCTTGACCATCTTAATGAACATTAAAATTTAAGGTTTTTAATCTATTGGCATAGTTGGTATTCTTTTCAGTTTTTGTTGTTCTCTTCTCCCTTCTCCACTATTGTTCCCTTCTATAGTATTATAATTCAAAGCAGTATATGCAGCTCATTTTGATCTATTGGTTGAAAGCTTTGGCTACCAACTAAGTGGTCATGAGTTCGAGTCTTGCGTATGTGATGTGCGTATGAGTTTGCCTTAATTGAACTAAACGTCCCAAGAAAAAAAGATTTCAGTATTATAACTAAATTTAGTGATACTAATTTCAATGATTGTGAAGCCTTTGTATTGACAAATGATGAAAGTTTTCTTTTAATAATTTTGGTATTTTTTTAATTTACTAATTTGTTTTGATATTATATAATTTTGGAGATTGAAACAATCTTTATTTCTATATGGACTGGATATTATCTTTTTTTTTTGTATTGTTAATTGATTGATGTATGTTTTAAATATATGAATAGGTTGTTCAATGTGCTTCTATCAATTCCTTAGAAATTAAATTGATGAATGAATGTTAGTTTTGCTTTCTTTCTTCTACACCTAATATTGGCACCTTGGGTTAATAAACTAATGACTAATATATATAAGCTAGCATTAGCCATTAGGGTTGACCTCACTTAGTAGTGAGATTAAGGCTTCGTTTGAGATGGCTAACTTCTTACTTTCTAAAACAATTTTTTAGTACAAAAATTTCTTAATTAGTAAAATCTTATTGAATTTGAAATTTTTGTAATGAAAAGCTGTTTTAAAAAGCAGTACGAAAGCTGTCCCAAAGGAAGCCTAAGACTTATTATTCTTATTGTTGGTGTATCTAAAAGCTAACCCAAGAGATGTAAATGAACTAATTAATTTACTTGACAAGCTAATTGTGATTTGGCTCTCAGATTGATGGAGCTCTGATCTTGCAAGATTATTTAATTAACTGATCGAATAATTTTGAATACTTTTATGAGTAATTGGTCGATAAATGAATAAATTTGAATAATTTAGTGTTTTATTCGTTCATGATCACTAATACTATCATTTAAAATTCATGAATAAGCTTATTAAGAAAATTTCCACAAATAAAAAGTAATCTCATTATTCGAAGCTCAGGCTTACAATTAATGCAAGCAGAGAATCAATAAATGCAAGCAACACACCAATATTTCCTTCATACACCAAACTCACAGACAAGGAAGCCATTAACGGTCACAAACACACAACTTGCACACCAGTTTCGTAAGATCACTCACCCTTAAAAAAGAAAAATTCAGTTACATATAACAAAGAATCCATAGACCACCAAAAGAAAAAGGCAAGCAAGCAAGCAAGATATATCAGACTCCTCTTGCAAGCATCTGCTTGTAATTCTCAATCGACTGAAGCCGCTGAAGCAATAGGTCCTCTCTGAACCTCTTAATGAACTGCTCCGCACTGGCATCTATGTCTTCCTCGGCCATATCCATTCTCTTCATCCACAAACCAGCCCTAGACCCTCCCGGCTTTCTCTTCTCCTGCGGCCGCTCAGTCGCCGTCGGTGGCGCTGGAGATAGTGAGGATGGTGAGCTGGTATTGGAGGAGATCTTTCTATTGCTGGCCATGGCTGCTTGCTCTGCTCTTTCACTTGCCATACTTTTATTCACAGTGATTCTTTAAAGCTCTTGGTCTGATGATGACGAAGAGGTGAGGTCTCCTCTTATAGGTTTCATGAGAGTCGATGACGTGAAGCCGAGCTGTAAAGTTAGGCTTTTTGACCGACTAAGCAAATGAAGAATCTTTGGAGTGGGATTCAGGAATCAGGAGAGCTTTTGGCGTGAGCTTTTCAAAGAGACGTGGTGGAGTAGCTATGGCCGGGAAATGTGGTCCTGAAAGGGTGGCTTGAGATTCGTTTCCATGAAAGTAGGTTACCGACCAGGTCTGCTTGCAATTGGGAGGAAAGGAACGCAGAGGCGGCACGCAGGCATCTTTTGGACCCGAATCAAGAAGAAAAGTATTTTGGTGAACAAGAAGTGGTTATGATAGGCTCAAAATTAAGAGATTTATTTTAAAATTAATGAATGATTAATCGATCTTCAAAGGACTATAGTAAATGATATGGTCGGGTGAGTATAGTGTGATGATTGTAGTTGGATAATAGTAGCTTCAGATGATTATAGTTAAACAAGAGTTGTTGGAGGATACTAAGGTAAGGGAGGTGGAAGGATTATAGTTGAGCAATGAAGGTTGGGCAACTTTAGTCAAGTGATGGTTGTCAAATGACTGTAGTTGAGCGAAGGATAGTAGCGATAATGGTGGTCAAAAGATCATATTCTAGCGATGATAGTTGGAAGATCATAATCAGACGATATTAAGTAATCAGAGAAGAGTAGTCAGACGATAGTGATCGAAGGATTGTAATTATGAGATAGTTGTTGGACGGCCTTATTCGGACTACAATGGACGAGGGACTGTATTTAAGCGATGGTTGTCAATAGTTTGAGGCATGGCAATGGCGGTCCAATGTTGATGGTTAGGCCATGATGGTGGTCAAACTAAATGGCTAAATGGTGGTGGCTCGATGGTAGTGATCCATCGTCGGTGGTCGAACAATGGCTATCCAATGGAGTTTAGTGTTTATTCAAGCCTTTGAGCTCTATTGACCCTCAAGCCAAGGATTCAAGCCCTCCCAAGAACTAATATATAGAGTAAGGGCATATTTAAGATTTTTGGAAATGATATGCCCGCTAATTATAGTCAAAATTTGGAACAATCTAGCAGACTAGGGGTGTCAATATTTGACATGACACGAAAACCCGATCCGGACCTGACCCAAAAAATTCGGGTTGGATCCGACCCGATTTCAAAACGGGTCGAGTTCAGGTTGACCCGACGGGTTGGAGGGTCAACCCAGAAACCCGCTTAGAATGAGCTGCCCGAAAGGGGAGTAATTGAGAAAACCAGTACGATACCAACAGCACACCAAGAAGAGTTTATGTCTAATTTAAAAGATCTCCCAATCAATGTAGATGACCAAATCAGATTTAATGAGAGCGAGTTGCAGTTAGAGGAGGTAGATCTAAACATAGAGGAAAGTGATGATGAATCTGATTGTGCTAGGAGTGTATCATCTGATGAAAGTGAATCAACAAATGATGAGTTAACAACATAAGGTAAATTATTTTACTTCCCTGTATTTTACTTCACTGTTTTTTATAGCTACTACACTCTGTTTTTTTTTTTTACTTACCTGTATTTTACTTCAGTCCATTTTTTTTAGCTACTGCACTGCGTTAATTTCCATTTCTGTTATAACTCATATTTCTAATATTTCTTTTTTATTTATGTGCAGATGGCTTCAGGTGAGGAGCAGCCTAATAGAGGGTTGATAAAAAATATTTTTAACAGGCGCACTAAGAAGACTACAATTGGACCACATAGGTCACTACGTACTGAGGAGACCACCTCGGCTCAGCCTGCTACACAGTCTCAGCCTGCTACACAGCCTCAGCCTGCTACACAGCCTCAGCCTGCTACACAGCCTCAGCCTGCTACACAGCCTCAGCCTGCTACACAGCCTCAGCCTGCTACACAGCCTTTACCCACTCCTGGAGCCAGTAGCCCGCAGTTCTACTCACCGGACCTTCGATTTCCTTCACCAGATCTCGGGCAGGCTACTCCTTTCTACCCATACTTCACACCCCCACCTTATGCTGGTGCCCCTCCTACTTATCCATTTCCACCATATGCTCCACCATACTATCCCCCACCACCCCATCAGCCTGCTACAACTGGACCTTCGACAGCAGCTGGACCTTCGACAGCAGCTGCAGCAGAGCAGCAGACAGATGGTAGAATGTTGATAGCACCTGAGGGTGACACGTACGTATAGTAACTTTTATTTAAACTAACTAATTGTTTTATTTTATATTTTATATTTGTTTTACATAACTTTATTTTTGTAGGTTCTATCCATCAAAACAACCAACACATAAAATACGGGACATCATACGGAGCAGGTTTGACGCTCCTTATGTTTCTTGGAAGAAAGTCCCAAAAGAAGTCCGGGAGATGTGGTTTAGAGAGTTTGAGGTATTTCTGTGTTTTTGTTTTTATGTTAAATGATTTATTCTTTCTTACTTAAGGTAAATTGATTGTTTTTTATTGCAGAAAGAGTTTTGTTGGCTGCCCCAACACAATGACAAGATTAGAAAGAATTTTGAGAAGCGTGGCTCTACTCGGATGCGCGACATGTTCACAGATGTTAGAAAGGTTGGGAAACGACCATTGTGGATTGGAGAGGAGATATGGGCTGAGTTGAATGCAGCTTGGGGCAGCGAAGAGTACACTAGGAGGAGGGATCAAAATCGACAGAACAGAGCTTCTGATGTTGGGGGCTTAGGTAGTGCACTTCATACAGGAGGCTCCGTTCCACATACTGAGCACAGGCGTCGTTTGGTAATGAATTTTAATTATTTTTTAAAATTGTTTTTTAATAATTAGTATTGATAAAACTCTCTTAATTGTAACAGAAAGCGTCACTTGGTAGAGAACCAACTCCTGTGGAATTGCATAGTCGCACTCATAAGCGACAGGAGGATCAACAATGGATTGATGAGAGAGCAAGGAAGGCCCATGTAAGTATATTTTTATAAATATTTGATATTTTATAAGTTTTAGTTTAATTATATATATACTTATATTCGATTTTCACAGGAGGAATATACACGGATTCGAGAGACTCATGCCGCATCAGGTGAGGGCTCTTCTGGCGGCTCTGTGGAGTATTCTGAGTATCGCATGTGGTCGCAGGCCGTCGGAGGAATGCAGCATGGTAGAGTATATGGCTTAGGTGCGCAAGCTCAGGCATACGAGGGGATGACCTCCTCTACTGCATCCAGCTTCGCATCCAGTTCGCATGAGTCCTTACAAGCTCAACAAATAATTGCCCTTCAAGCTGAGCTAGAACAAGTAAGGAAATCACAAGTTGATTGGCAAGCTCAGCTGCAAGCACAGATTCAAGCTCAGCTGCAAGCACAGGTGCAAACAAGTACGGAGCAACACAATCAGTTGCTGGATGAAATGCGCAAGATGAGGGAGCAACTGAGTGGAAAAGACGTAGCTCCACCTGAGGAGGAGTCGACGGAGTCAGAGTAGTGTAATTTAGTTGAAATGAACTTGTATTTTTATGTGAACTTATGTTATTGGATAATTACTTTTAATATGATGTTATCAGTTGATTTTTAGTGCTAAACTGTTGTGAAACTGTTATAAATTATTGTGAAGTTGTGGAACTGTTGTGAACCTGTTGTGGAACTTGTATGTGTTAGAATTGATAGGTTTGCAGGTGTGGAAATGGGATTGTTGGCTGGGAAGGCAATTTTTTTTTTGTCAATGCTACAGGTTTCCGGCGGATTATGCGCCGGTAATCCGTCGGAAAATACGATACAACGAAATGTATCGTACGTACCGGCGAATATGATCCGTCGGCCACTACCGTCGCAAGTCCGGCGGATATTCCGCCGGTAATTACCGGCGCAACAATTGCGACGTAAAATAACTGTGGAATTTTGATGGCGCAACTCCGGCGACTTATCCGCCGTTAATTACCGTCGCATTATACGACGGTAAAAACCGGCGCATTAGGCGCCGGAATTCTCATATTCTTCACGTCGGCAAACAAACCGTTTAATGCGCCGGTAATGCGTCGGAAACTGCGCCGGAACTTTTTCCGGCGCAACTTATACGTCGGAAACAAATTATCGACGCACCAAAAACCGGCGGAGATATTTGCGCCGGAACATGCGCCGGAAACTACCGGTTCCGTCGGATTTTACATTGTTTCCGGCGGATTAAGTCCGCCGGTAATAACAGGTTTTCCTATAGTGTTCGTGCTCCGTCCTCCTGTAGTTCCATTCGGCGAACCTCCATGACTTCATGCTCAAGCCGACATCGAACCGCGACCGATACTGCCATCACTGTCAAATCATCCATCATTATTCATCTGCTCGATCTTCTACAACCTGAGCGCAGCCCTCTTTGACCTTCATTAACCTAAGCCGCCACAACACCTTGGGTATCATCTAAACTATATGATTTCATCAATTTTTAAATCAGAAGTGATTTTCTAAATGAGTTATTTCATATATCTTTGAATTTTGCATACCTATGAATACCCTAATTTTTTCAATGTGTTTGAAAGAAGTTCTTAGCACTTGATTGTTTAAAAGTAGTTCTTAGCACTTGATTTGCAAGTCCTTGCGTTAACATATAGTGGCACTCAGTTGGAGTTGATGGCCATGAATGGGTAGATGCTGCAACCAAAGAGTGTGAGCATCAACGTAGGAACACTCACAAGGAGGCAATCATTGTGAATATTTGAGCAAGTACATCACTCTTGAATGTGTAGGAAGCAAAGTAATCTACCTACCAAATGTATTGAAAACCTATCCTTTACCCTGCTTTTTCTTTGCTAACAGACTTATTTGACTTGTATGGTCTTTCTAAACTAAATTTTTTTGGTCTAGAGGCTTAATTTTTTCATGTTTCTTTCTACCAAAAAATGAAAAAGAGTAATGAAATTAATGATTTAGGAAGATTGCGAATAACTATCTTGAAGGGACTATTCCTGATAATTTGAGCTCATGTGTGAATCTTCCTAGCTTGTGAGTATTATCTTTTAACTGCATTTGCTCATGTAGTTCTAATTCTTCTTGTATGTGAATTATCATTAACTATTCATCTTTTTACAGTAATGCACAAAAAAATAAATTGAATGACACCATTCCACGGATTTTTAAGAACCTTGATAGCATGACATGTTGGTAAGTTAATATGTTATTTATTAAAGCGACATATCGAAGTTTGAACAATCAATTTTAGCATGTTCTTTATTGAACCTGAGTATGCTCGAACTTCTTGACTTAATGAGAAGACTGATGTCCAATAGCTATGGCATTGTCCTACTTGAACTCCTCATAAGAAAGAAG